CGTTCATGGCCACACAAGGCCGGCCTGAGCTTTAGCTTTAGCTTTATACTATATATATAGCTTTAGCTCTCGGTATATAGTGGCATTGCTTCCACATCAGCGTCACATCGGCTTCAAAGTCGCGTTCAACGTCAAGTGGCCCACTCGGCATTCCACTTGAAGCGTAATGAAAGCATTTTTGCCACTAACACATGTGAAGGGTCTGGTAGGACTAGGACATGGACAGGGACAGGATCAGGGAAAGGAACTGGATGTGGAAAAGAGAGGAGCAACGACAGGCACTTGCTTAGCTTTAGTGTGTGTATATATGTACATGTGCCACATTGGATTGACACTTGTCAGAATCATTTCGGTCTACACACCAAAGATCAGCAAAAAAAAAAATTAAATAAGGCAGCAAAATTAGCCGAAAGGCACAAGATTAAGAAGATTTTTCCCTTTGCCTGCCTTAACTTGATTACACAAACATCGAGATCTGTAATTCCATTAAGATTTCCGTCTCATTGCACAGCTAAAGCAAAAGCAGGAGTCAAGTTCATTTATATCCAAAGGACTGTGCTTGTGTGTGCCACCTGGCTGCCCGAGAACAATAAAACACATTAACACCTATTAGAGGGTTGTATGAGAGGGGTGAACATGGGGGTCGAAGAAGTCCTGGCCATTGTGTAAATGGGAACATAAATAAAAGCGACTGTCTGCCAAGTTATGAATAATAATGACAACAATAACAATGGAAGGGACAGAGAGAGAGAGAGAGAGAGAGAGAGAGAGAGAGAGAGAGCACTAAGGCTAAACTGCTTTAACCAAGTACAAATGGGGAACGAATAATAGTGGTTGTCATGTGGGAATTACTTACTATATATAAATTAAATACAAAATGTTAAAGAAATTTATTTTTAAAATATGCAGAAAGGATCCAAATATTCATTTCATCTTTTATAAAGGTTCACCAATTTGAAGCTACTTTTAAGAGGTGTTTTAAGGTTGTTTAAAATAGTATAAACAGGAAAGGAAGTTTGCAGCGTGTATTTAAATCAAAAATCTATCTTAAATAAGTCAAAAATCCATTTATTTCAAATCGGAAAGCTTTTCTGTGCTAGTTTTGTTTAGGTTAACAAATCTGCATACTCAATTTACAATTACAAAAATTGATTTTTTTGTTTGGCAATTTTTTTGATAATTTTTACAATGGAACCCCTTAAAAATTTGTTTTTTCTCCCAGAGATGGCTAAATCGAATCGGCTGTTCATGCTGATCAAGAATATATATATGATTTATAGGGTCGGACACGACCCCTTCACTGTTCTATGATCTTCAGATTGAAAGTACAATACCCAGAAAGGGTATAAAAAAAACGTATGATTAAATATTAGAATAACAAACCCTCTTTGTTGCCAATATGTTTACCACGACTGTGCCCGTAGTGCATGCATGTGTGTGTGTGTAATGGTAATTAAGGATTTGGTCCTTGCCAAGGCACGAGTCCAGTTAAAATGGCTTGCCCCTTTGGGCCATTTTTATGGTCATTGTCCAATGGAATGGAAGCACAAAAGAGCCACAGAAAAAGAGAAGAGAAAAAACAAAAATAGAAGCTGCCCCAGACAAAAACCACACCTGGTTCCTACCTGGCTTTGTGCACAGGACATCATGGCCTTAGATAAGACCATGTTCCTGTGTGTGTGTTTACAAATCTCTGCGCTAATTAAAAGTCATTAGAGCGTGGTTTAATTGCATTTAAAGGCAGAATCCCATTTTGCCCCACAGTTTAGACATCGTATAAATCTGTTAGAGCTTTAAGTTTATCCACGGCGATTAATATAACCTTATCTAATTACCTGTTTCCTTTCTTCTTTGCAGGTAAGCAGAATCCATAGAACATGAAACGTAAATTAAGCGGCAAAAAGGTGTAAGTTCGTTCGTTCTAATGCAAATCCGACTAATGAACCTAGGGACAGAAAGTTCAAAAAAGAAGGCATTTTACCGTCACATGAATATTTCAGGATCGTGTTTCATTAGCACTTAAGCTGCTTGAGCCGAGCCTGTGTCTTGTGTCCTGTGTAGTGTGTCTCCGCGCTGCGGTTTCCATAAAATATTAATCCGTTCGAGCCGCATTTCGGATGCAAATGCAAAAGCGAATGAATAAATGATAGTCGCGTGTGCGAATTATTAGCGGGAATTCGTGGCACTAAGTGTTTGCCCCGAAAGTTGAGAGGCAACTCAATCGAATGGCGCTGTTCGCTTCTTCATAAATTTCTGCCTCATGAAATATGCAAGTGCCAAGCTGGCATGAAAATGGCGGAGCTTCCGCTGCAACCGCTCATCCAGCGCCTGTCCCGTCCAGTCGTCGTCCTGCCTTATCCTATTATATCCGGTCAAAGTTCTTTTTATACCCTACAATACGCAAGGGTACAAGGGTATATTGGGATTGAGCTAAGCTTAAGCTGGGAGATCTTTAAACAATCTAGGAAATTAAGACCACTCCCCTCTGCTCTCTTTTACCGATAAATTAAGACTTTGATTATGAAACATTTACAATATAACTTCCTACCTATATTTCAATAATAACTAGAGTTGTAGATGGTAATATCGATACTTTCACAACTCTTATCAAATATAATTACCAGGTATCTCATAGTCGTCACTTTCGTTTTTTAGAATTGAATCATCTTTTTTAGAATTCTCCCCTCTGCTGTCTCCTTCTGCATTCTCCCTGCTGTTTTGTTTAAATTGTCAGTTTGCACACAAAACGCCGTAGTTCCGGCCAGTGTTCATTTCGCTGACTTGGCCTGCAAATTACAGCCAACTTTTGTTCTGTGCCACCATCATCGTAGTTCTCTTCCTTTATTTTTTATATATTTTTTTATAACGCAGCAACTCCGTTGGCTATTTAAACTCGTTGAAAATATCTTTCCTGTTCATATTCCATGGCAAATATTTTGCAGCAATTTTTTAATAAACTCGGCTAGGTGATTTGTCTGGGTCGGAGAGCTGGAGCTGGAGCTGGCTTTGATGGAGCTGAATACTTTGCATTTTTGTTTACTTTAGATGGGTTTTTGCTGCAGATTTTTTCTGATCGCTGTGATTTTTGCTTATAGTTCTATTTATACTGGAGATTTTTAATATTCTCGATATTTGTACATTTTAATTTGGATGTCATTTGTCAAAGGTTTTCTTTTTTGGGATGTGCGTAAATATACATCTATTTTTTTATTTGAAAAAATATCAGGTTATTTACCAGAGTTGGTTATTAAATCTTACTTGGCATGTTTTAACAAATTCATATGTATTTCGAGTAACTTTATTACTATTGACACTTCTTTTTTTTAATTCACATTTCCTTTGCATCTCAACCACAAAAATATTTAAATAAATTTCGAATGTATTTATTTGTATACCTTTAAACAAATAAATTTGCATACTATCCTCTTTTGAGGTTTTTATTGTATACATCTGTATACTGTATATCTGTATACATCTTTTAATTTATTATTAAGTTCTAAGAATATTTTTGTAATCGAAATATTAGAAAGATATTTCCCAAAATTCGGCAGACTCTCTTCCAGGAACCAGTTTATTTATCACGCATACGCCACGTGTCCTTGCACATCAAAGTGTTGACATACTTTCCCCAAGAATCCTCTTCGGTACACACTTTATTATTTATTGCCATAATCATTTTAATGGCAACAAGCCAGAGGGGGACGAATACAGCACGATAATCACATTTATTAACATTTTAACTTAATCAGCAGGAGGGCCCCAAAAACGCCTTTTGATGTACGCAGAATGTGTCCTAATCAGTCAGGTGTTGTCAACCCACTCAGGATGGTTGTTGTTGCCGAGTAACAAACAAACAAACATTTTAATTCAAATTTTATTCACTCACTCATACACACACACACATATCCTTCCACTCGGTTAACTGTAATAATTTTTACCCGAATACAACATGTGTTGGCAATTTTCTTAGCTTTTCCGACAATCTCGCTTGTCATCCTGTCTTGTCATTTCATTTCACTGCCGCAGATAAGAAAGTTCTTCAATGTTATGGGAATTTAAAAGGCTCGCACTCTTCCTTTTGGGTAAAAAATAAATTATATATATCTTAACGCTAGCTTCCTCCAAAGTCATCCATCATTTTGTGGTTCCATGAGCTGCCCCAGACGACCACTAAACGAACAAAAACATGGCTCATTTAATTGAAACAAATGCGTGCTGCGTATCAATTGAAGCCAACGAAGCCCACATATGTTAGTTCTGAGTGTGTGTAAGGAGCAATAAAAACTAAATGACAACAAAATGGGTTGAGCATTTTTAGTACCATTTACTAAATGAGCAACAGGGATGGCAATCGTTTCAGGTGCCCCGTCAATGGGCAGCCAGCAACAGAGACCAAAAAATAATACAACAAAATAAAGGGAAAATAGGGTATGAAAAAAATAAACAAACATAGATAAACGAGCGTGTTCTATTTGCCTCCCCCAGATGTTGTGGCAAGTGATATTAAAATCCATGTAAATTACACACAATCATCATAATGCCTACGTCGGCATGTAGTGTGTGTGTGGTGTGTGGTGCCATAAAGTGACACCCAACACGAGAATTCCGTCGGACCTTTTATGGCCTGACCACAACGGCAACGTTTGACATACTCGTTACAATAGATATAATGCGGCAGATAGTATACTATAATGCCGTAGATAATGCCAGCGACGTGCTCTCTGAAGTGCAAGTGTACCGGCAGCATAGATACTATATATACTATATATACAACAATCATAGACTAGAGAAGATGCCGTAACAGAGAATGGAGGCACATCCTGTCAATAAAAACAATTGGATATTTTATCACATAAAGTTTGATCCAAGGATCCATAAAGATCTAGAGTTCTATGTCTTATAAATCCTACTCTTCTTAAAGTTTAATATATTCTTCATTATAAATAAATAAGAAGAAAGTTATTTGTTTCTCTTTAAATTCCATTTATTTATTCATTCATTTAACTTTGATAGCCACCTGAGAAAGGTGTGGAGAACGAAGGCTGCTTATTATTGCTACCGGTCTGAGTATACCAAATGCTTTGAGGTTTCTGGGCTGAAATCACTCCAGACTCACCAGCAGGACCTCGAGGACCACGTGGACCTGTGGGTCCGGTTGGACCTCTTGGTCCCGGTGGTCCAGGTGGTCCAGGAGGTCCGGGTACTGCCACAGGAACCTGGATATAGGTTGGACCAGACAGGGTCTCCTCCTTCTCAGAGGCCACAGACTCACTGGGCAGCAGATTGAAGTTGGGCCAATTGAATTGGGAACTTAGTTGGGAGTTTAGTTGAGAGTTTGAGATACCCTGCTGACCCTGGACATTAAAGCCAAGTTGATAGCGCGGCACCACCACAATGGGTAAGGTATTAGCCTGGTTCTGGCTGAGACCGCTCTTGGAGAGGATCGAGGGACCAAAGGCCACGGGATATGCCGCCACCTGGGGCACCACATAGTTCAGATTCTTGTCATTCACCATGGGAATGGCATTCGAGTAAAGATAGTCGGGAATCTTGCGACTGTCTTTGGACTCCATTGGTTCAGACTCGGCCACTTCCTCTCTGATTTGCGGCTCCTGGAAGGTGGGTTCCTGGTCATCGGATCTGGCTGTTGCTTCGCCTGGGGAATAAATGAGAATTTGAGGTCCTTGCGGCTCCTCCACATCCACGTCGGCAGCGCGTCCGGAGCCAACCACTCGCCGTAGATTGGGAATTCGTGCCTGACTGGCGCAAATCAGGCCCAAGATCACTGAAAGTTAATGATTATTATTTAAAAGTTCTCCTTTATATTTAAGGTTTTAGGTTTCTTCTTACCAAGCATTTGCACTCTGCGATTCATGTTGGTTGACTGTTGAATATTGTCTTTAAGTCAACCGCTTTTATACCCAAGACTTTGGATTTGATAAGATCTGAGATCTGAGAACCTTTCTTCTGCGAACTTGTTGCCAACACGGGTGTAATCAATTTAAAACTGACCAATTTAATTGGGTCAACTAGCTAAACTGGTTAAACTTATCCCAAGATCTTCAACAATGACTCATTGGGTGTGGTTTTGGCCAAAAGAAGGCTGATAGAAGGGCAGATAAACCCTTTGCTTGGGTGTTTTGATAAATTGCAAGATCTTATTTGGTATAATTTTTAAGCAACTTAAAGGAATATCTTTGGGTTTTCACGAAGCTTAATGTTTTACATAACTTCTTTTAAGTTTATGTTGAACATTGATCTTGTCATCAATTTCTTTGTCAAGAAACATTTAGTCATTTTTCTTTCTTTGCTTACAAAAGGAAATAAATAACTTTGACACCTGAGTTGTGTAAATAAATTCCTTTTGAATTGCTTTCAATTCAACTTTAAACTCTTTACTAAACATGATTTTTTGGTTATAAAAATAGCATTATTTCTCCTTAGATACCATAAATAACGACTGCATCCCCTGACATTTTATGTTTTAGCATTTCCTACTTTAAAAAACATTCATTTTCATCAGTTAGACATAAACTAGCATAGAAACACACATACACAGATAATAAAATGCAATAAAACAAAAGTGCACAAAATATATATATCTATATCTAAACGTATATATATTTATAGTGAAATAGTTTGTCGCACGAGAACGAAATTGAAAGTTCAACACGATATATGTGTACATATTTTGGTTTAGCATAGAAACCAGGCAGGGGTTTAATTAAATTAAATCAAAGCTGAACACTGAACACTGAACACTGAACGCAGAACTGGGAAAAGGGGTCGCTTGGCAATGTTTGTTGGCGATCCGATTGAATTGAAGCACCCGCATCCGCATTTGGGGTGGAACTATCATCATCATCATCCGCAACAGCATCAGCATCAGTCTCTGGATATTCAAATCTCCGGATCTGTGGATTGGTTTCGATTCGAACGCTGGAAGCTGTTGAGCCAGTTGAGCCAGTTGCGCCGTGGCGAGCGCTTCGTTGGCGGCTCCCGATCGAAAGGATTCACGTCCTTGTCGGGAGTCCTGAAATCGTGACGGGAAAATAAATCAAATATATATATGATGGGTTATTGGCTATGTGTGGTGCTGGTGCTGCTACTGCCCTCCAGTTACCAACTGGCCACGCCCTCCGGTAACGGTCAGTTGCGACGCCTCTGGCTGCAGGATCATTGCAGTGCCGGTATATGCACGAACGTGGAGATCGGTCGCAGTGACTATGTGATCCTCTCGCAGGCTCCCATTCCGGGCACCACGATGCTCACCTTCATCAACTCGAGCATTGCCAAGATCCCTCATCTGCTGTTCGACACATTTCCGGATCTTCAGATCCTGCGCATGGAGAACTGTTCGCTGGAGACGTTCGAGAAGCCGCAGTTTGAGGGGGCCAGCAATCTGATGAGCCTGTTCCTGGGACACAATCGCCTGAGGGATATACCCAAGAATATCTTCTTGGGGGCCGACAATCTGGCCACCTTGCATCTGGAGTCGAATCAACTGAAACAGTTGGTTAACAACAGTTTTCATGCCCTAAAGGAGGTGAAGGAGCTATCTCTGGCCGACAATCAGCTGGAGCAGCTCTCTCCGGGTGTCTTTGGTGGCATGCGGAAGTTGCAGGATCTAAATCTAGCTGGAAATCGTTTGGAGGCCCTGCCCCGTGGAATTTTCGACCGGAACTTGAACCTAACGAAACTGAACTTGGCCTGGAATCGATTTACTGCCTTCGAGTCGGAGCTGCTGAAAATGCAGCCACTTCTGACGCATCTGGATATATCTGGGAATATTCTGCAAGAGCTCACCCTGAACTTCAGCTCCCTGGACGTGGCCGTGGCCCACAGCTGCGACCTGAGGCGACTGACCGTGTATGGAGTGATTCGTGAACTGGATTTGCATAATAATTCGCTGAGGGAAATGCCGCACATTCCGCAGGCTGGGAATGTGAGCAGCTTGGACTTGTCGCACAATCCGCTGGGCAATCTCCAGGGGAATCCCCTGAGAAGATTCACCTCGCTGCTGCGCTTGAACCTTTCGGCCACCAATGCCCACGAGCTGCCGGAGGGTGTGTTCAAGAAGCAGGGTCACCTGCAAATGCTGGACATATCCGGGAACTCGATTTACTCCCTGAAGATCACCATCTTTGACAGCCTGAAGGAACTGCAGTATTTCTACTTTCAGCAGAACAACTGGAACTGCGATTTCCTGCAGCTCCTGATGAGCTCCTTTGTGAAGCGCCGGGATATATCCTTCATGGAGGATATCACGGCACCGGAGTTGGTCGATGACTATGTGGATGGCATTGCCTGTTGGTATGAGAGCGACAAGCAGTCGAAGAAATGCGAATCTGGAGGATCGGATGCTGCCATGGAATTATCGGTGGTTCGGAATGAGATCAAGACCTTCACCGAATTGGTGGAGAAGAAGTTCGTCAAGGTTTATCGGATGTTGGAGGAGATGAAAATGAAACTATAAAAGGGAAATATTTATCCCACATATTATCTATCTATCTATCAAACCATATTTAATCCCCATATTTAACCAAAATATTTAATCAACATATGAATAACCGCATATTTATGTTATTTGACACACGACAGCAACAAATGGATAATTTTAAGTGATGATAAGAACCAATAAAGCTCTACTGGGAACTCTATTTTAAAAGAAGTCTTTAATTTTAAAAAGGGGAAATGATTAAAATTAAAATACTTAATTCTTAGCTACCCAAACAGCATCTGAAATATAAAACCCATTTAAATTCTATATAATCTCTGTAATATCCCATTATTCGATCAATTTTATTATCAGAATATCACCATATCCCCGCCATTATATTCTTTCCATATCTAAAATTCCTTTTGTGCATAAACGTTAAAACAGTTTATCATGTGATAAATCCCAGGCAAGCTCAAAAATCGCATTTAAAAAAAATTGTTGCTAACGCTCAATTTAATGCCATAAATATTTTATGCAAAACACGAGGCAGCCAGAAAAAATATTTATGGCATAACATACACAGAATTCTCCGTTTTTATTTTATTTTATTTTTTTATTAAATGAAACTTATCACCGTAATCGCGTTCAGAGAAGAGGAAAGGAGAGACGGACACACTTAAAAACCGACAAAACTTAATTAAATGCAGGCACACACACCGTCGAATGCCACAAATAAACACACTCACTGGGCAATGGAATTTTTTTCCAACGTCAACTGAATACTCGCAATGATAATAATAAATACATTTTGTAAATATTATTCCCTCTACTTTGTAAGAGCACACAGGCACATATGTATATGTATATCATGTGTGTGTGTGTGGTCTGGCAAAAAAACAAACACACTGACAGAGAGAGACACGGATGGCAGCCCCATTAAAATATGGCTTACAGTTGATTGGGCTGAAAAGTGTGGCCGGCAACTTTTTGCCAAACTGCCAGAGATATCAAGTTGTTGTGGGTACATTTTTGTGGGAATAAATGTTTGTTGGTTAAGCAAAAGTTAACTCTGAAAAGGAGAGAGAGAGAAAGATCGGGGTTTACCGATGATTTATAGATGAAGTAACCTTTAGGGGTCTCTGAGACCCGTTTCCTCTAAGCTGGTAACGAGCATTTCCAATAGGCATCATTTGCATTTTCGATGCTCTCCGGCTGCCATTTTTTGCTGTTGACTCTATTTCTATGCAAAAATGCTGAAAAAGATGAAAGGCGCCATAAAGTATGCAGCACATTTTAAAGCTTAAGCCATTAAGATACAGTCGTGCCTCCCTAACACGCTCCATTGTGTGTGTGTGTGTGTGTGTATCTCGCTCCTTCCTCTCGTTCTGTCTCTGTTGCTCTGAGAGTCTTACTATGCTTGTAAGCAACTTCCGTTTCCGTTATCCGACGCGTCGTTTGTTCTGCCATTGTTGCCATTGGTGGCGCTGCCGTCGATGTCGCTTCCTTTCATCTTGCCCCCTGGGTTCCAGTTGGTTTAGATATGCAGTGTAAAAAATAGATGCTAAAGAGAAGCAGAGAACTAAGGCAAATAAAGGAATTAAATTTGTGTGGAAAACAATTTATTATAAACAGAAACTTAATCTTAAAAAGAGTCAAGTACATAAGCAGCATTTCTTACGCCTTAGCATTGTCACGTTTTTCTTTCTCAAGTACATATTAATTAAATTATTTTCTTCAATATTTTATATATATTTTATGTACCATTTTTTGTTCAGTGTTTAAATGTTAACCTGCTTACGCTGTGCAACATATGCAGCACTGTTTTAGTACACTTTTAAAGACCCTCACCACCTTGTCTGCTCGGCTGACTTTGTCTTGTCTCGGGCTCAAATGCTTTTGGCCAAGTTTATGAAACTGCTGTTTGCAGCTTGTTGTTGCTAATGTTGTTTTTATTGTTGTTGCTACTGCTGCTACTTCGATGCCGCAACTCATTAAGAAAACAAAAGCTGCACACAAAAGTTGCTCGTTACCTAAGCGTCCTTCTCCTCGTCTGGCCTTCTGATTTCCTCCTCCACTTCCCCGCGCTCCTTGTTGTAATTAAGTTGACTTTATTGCCCAACAATGTTGTACAAATGCATTTAGCATTAGTTTTTAGTGCTTTTGAGGTTACCCTCTGGAACCTTAATCGAACTTTTCGAGCTCCCCGGAATATTCATAATTTTATGGCGCAATTTTCTTATTACCTTTATTGTTTGCCAAGTGGCCAGCTGTTCAATGAAAGTTGTGGTTCAAACTTGTAGATAATGGGTCAAGGCTAAGGGACTTCTTGACCAAGGAAGATCGAATGAGGCGAGGTGATTTCTGAAGGCTGAATTTCCTGTACATTATTGTTGCGCATATCCAGTATGTTTTGATAGGGTATCAGAGGATAATGTATACGATTTAAGAATTATATTTGGATAACTAGAAGCACAAATGTTTCCTTATCTTTTAGATACATTTATAATTAAATATGTAATATATGTTATGGATATACTTACCTTTTATGGGTGTCTCTAGATCCGGATCTTCTTATCTACACCACCTGTGTATATCCTTTCATTTTCTGCCCACCTCATTTACTTAATTTCCTGGGCATGCTCACGTGCCTTCACTCAAATTCCCGTTACGTGCCACAAGTGAAATGCGTGCTTATTTGATTTGTTCAAGTGCCTGCCGCAAAGAGGAAAAAAATAAATAAATAAATAAACGAAAAGAGAAAAACATACGTGTGCTCGGGGGAGTCGTTATACATATTTTAACATGCTGGTTTCCACTCGCATTTTAATTTTGGCATTGTTTTTCTCCCCCCCCATTATAAGCCAGCAAATCATTCATTGTTTTTGGCGCGAAGATATATATATATATAATATAATTTTCCATTATCCATAAACAATGCACACGCTCCACTGCAATTATGTGCGCAATTAGGCGTTGAGGCTAATTTTTATCAAATTTTTCGCACTGGCCGCCAGCAGGCTCATAAATAAAGCTTAATGGCAAAAACAGTTGGTCAGCCTGCGGGGCTGGAAAAGTGGGGAATACAGGAAAATGGGGAAAAATGGTAATGTTTTGGGTGGCATTAAATTAAAAATGCGGAAAGCGGAAGGGAGCGACTAAAAAATATGTTGCCTACTTTTGTGGCCTGTGCATAATTGGGCAGCATGAATAATGTAGAAGAGAGAAAGAGTGTGTGTGTGAGTGTGCGTGAGTTGCTAGTTTGGCAAACGAGGCGTATGCACAACATGCGTTTGCATAAATACACGCTTAATTAGCTCTCAGTACCCCTCACGCCTCAGCCCCTCCTCCTCTCTTCTCGCCCTTGCTCTCCTCCGATCAGCCAGCAAAACAGGATGCCAAGCAAGTTGTAACGCTTCTAATTAGCGGTTGCCAAACGAGCTTAAATTTAATTTTATAATAAATAACTCTCAGATACGCACACACAGCTGGGGTCGAAATAATAGTAGCTCTAGGAAATACAATAAAGAAAAAATTAATAAATATAATGCAATTCCTGTCATGTTTCTAAATAGTTTCATTTAAAAAAAATGGTACTTTAATAAGAAAAAATTTTAATCATTAAAAAAAAAAAACGATATAAAACAAGTTAGAAAACTCCAGTCTAGAGTAACCAACTATGATGTACCCTGTACACAAAATTAAAAATAACATAGACATGATTTAATACATTGTCAAATTAAGTATCAATTTATAAGAAACAAGTCGGAAGAAAGAAGGAAGTCAATTTTTTTCTCAATTATCTTGTTCCAATTTGTATTCTTTTTGATTAAAATTGTAATTGCAAATGGATTTTTCGTAAATATTCTTGTTTTTTGGATAATTTTATATTTTTGATAAATATATATATAAATACTAGCTGTACCCTGCCACGTTTCTCTGTGGCATATTATGGTTAAGAGGGCACTTCTGAATACATCAAGGTTCTGGCAAAATCATCTTCCTGGCATAAGGTGAAGAAGGCAGTCAGAGTTGTCGCTGGCCGATTCAGGACTCTTTCTTGCACATTTTTTTCTGTGAAATAGACACGTTGACCATTCTCCAAATGGACTGCCACGTTTCTCTGTGGCATATTGTGGTTGAACGCATAAGAAATAAGTCAAACAAAAAATAATCATTTTCAAATTAATTTAATTCTGTAATACTTGTTGGTATACAATATTCTTTGTTTCTCCATTCTCCGCGTAAATATAAAGACTTTTTGGTTTTCCGACTCGTGAACACGCAACATATAATTGTCCGTGTGAAAAACAATCTTCATCCAAATCCAGACCACACAACTCCAGAGATTGACCTTGAGCTTTATTTATGGTCATTGCAAACGCCAAACGAATGGGAAACTGCAATCTCTTGAACTGCAACGGTGTATCTGTCGGGATCATAGGAATCCTAGGAATGAGGACATCTTCACCTTTGAAAGGACCAGTTATGATCGTTGCTTCTACTATGTTGTTCATCAATTTCTTGACTGCGAGTCGCGTACCGTTGCAGAGTTTCGGCTGATTTATATTCCGGAGCATGTAATCGGCACACCTATTTTTAATTTCAATATGTGTGGTGGCATTCCAGGCAGATCAAGTGAGTTTAGAAATTCGGTAGGGTAATTAACTGCTTCCTCTGCTTCCACAACGGTATCTATCGACTTATATGTAATTTCGTCAGTTTCTATGCTTTTTTGGATTACATGATTGAGCTGGTAGACATCTTTGTTCTTGGCAGCGAGAATCGCTCGTCCACTGAGCCAATCGTGATTCCTATAATTTATTCGGATATTGGGGAACACTTTTTGGATAAGTTCTTCCTTCGATGTAACTAAATTACAGAAATTCCCGGGCAATACTATTTTTCTCGACGTCTCATTGACTGGCAGCTTTCCGTTCCCAATGTCCAGTAGCTGTCGTGAGAATACATCGGCTGAGTCATTGTTCTGTAACTGGACACGCATATTCGTCTTCAACTGTAATGTACGTACATGTTTCCACAATATAGAATATTTCAGGCAAGCATTTATCTCGTCAGCTGGTGTCGATCGGGAAATCACAGGCAACGTTTGTCTGAAATCACCTGCGAGCAATATTAACGCGTTCCCATGCATTGCTCTCAGCCGCTCAGTCTCTCGGAAGGAGGCCCGTTCTTCGTCAGTCATATTCGTAATCTTACGTC